TTTGGTTAAATATATGATAAAATACTACATCACCATAATTGTAGAACATGGATTATTTGTTGCTAAGAGATCTTCAACCTGTCTCCTAGCAACAAACAATTCAGTTATTTGGTTAAATATATGATAAAATACTACATCATCATAATTGTAGAACATGGATTTTTTGTTGCTAAGAGATCTTCAACCTGTCTCCTAGCAACAAACATTCAGTTCTTTGGTTAAATATATGATAAAATACTACATCATCATAATTGTAGAACATGGATGTTTTGTTGCTAAGAGATCTTCAACCTGTCTCCTAGCAACAAACATTCAGTTCTTTGGTTAAATATATGATAAAATACTACATCACCATAATTGTAGAACATGGATTTTTTGTTACTAAGGGCCCTTCGAGTTAATTGATTGTTTGCACTACAAGGTGTGGGTTTCGCCCACAAAAATCGCATTTCTCTGTTGACTGAAGCATCTTTTTTCAGCTTATACCATAATACTGGCATTCGTAGATGTAATTTATACATATTTATCTCTCCATCTCACATTTTTTTTATATCGTGACTAAAATCTAAGTCATTGCAATTAGCCATCACACGAAACAGCAGTTTTTATAACTTTCTCCTGCATTTTGTTTTTGTTAACCTCCTCCTTTTTTGGTTTAATCGTGATATACAGTTCCTTTGGTATTGCTGCGAATATGAATCACTTATTAAGATACAGTTAGATGGTAGTCATCATTACATCTGTATATTTTACTCTTCACGATATGTATATGTAGAGACTTTACTGACCACTTACCCTACTAGCCTTTCGGAACGAAATTTTTTTGAAATGATATCGTCGCAAGGTTTCATTTAATGAGTTTGGTTTTAAACATTCACGACCATGGGCGTGAATGAATATATTAGGATTTGTTTTAATTAATTGACTTAATAGTCGTAGTTTTGATTCTGAGATATTAATTATTCAAAGCCTACCTTTTCTTTCCATCTTCACGACTTTCAACAGCCTCTTTCAATCTTCGGTTGTTTGTTTGGTAATCGATTGGGGGCTTCACACCCAACCAAGGAAATTCCACTGGGATCCAAGAAGGAGAATTTACAGTTAGGGGGAGAGGGTTATAGGTTGGTGGTGGAATCCTATGAACCGAGTGATAAATAGGGGGAGCTATTAAAGGTACAGTGCTACAGGAAAAATGGGGCATGTATTCTTGCTTACTCACATGCGAAAGCCCTGTCATTTGGCTTCTCTGAGGTGCAGCCCCTGTGTATGACGTAGAATTCTTTGGTGTCGTGACGTCAGTAACAATGGCTTTATTAAAGTCTGATACTGGAGTGACTCTTGAAATGCTAGACAGTGGAGAAAATGACATTATTTCATTTTTCGAGTGTGCCACACTCGTAAATGATGACGAATTTGAGGACAAATGAGGAACATGACCGGTCGAAAGATTGGAATAAGAGAAACTTTCTAAATTGAATGAAGGCCCTCTTCTCGAAGAGCAGATTGGCTGACTAGATCCTGCTGTCGACGAAAGACCTTCGACCTTCGTGTGTCCGTTGCTATTTCTGGTTAATCTCGTGGACAAATGTTCTTCTGTCGGATCCCTGATAAAGTTTCTTGAGGTTTTAACTATCGCGCATTCGACGCTTGAGTCTCTTTGTAAAACATCATTATTGCTCTCAACATGTAGCATGGGTCGTACCAGGCAAGTTTCTTTCCGGGAAATATCTTTGGCTGATTTGGAATCATATTGTTTGGGACAGTACTTTACAGCAGAGCTTGTGCTGCTTGTCGATATTGGTTTCTTTTCACTCTTCTGCCTTGTTTGAACATTTAGTTCCATCCGTTGGGATGGTAAAATACGCTCTCTGAAGATTTTCTTCATGACTTCTTTTTTGTATTTTCTAAAATGAAGTATCAATAAACGTTCCTTTTCCTTTTGTGCTGCCATCATATCTAAATAAAGAATTTCTCTTCTCAATTTTTCGATTTTGTTTTTCAGGGCATGTGGATCGTTTGCCCAGATTGAGAAATCCATCCAGTCTTTATTATCAACGAAGATTGGATTTTCTTCGAGTATAATGGGAGTCTCCTTTTCTTCCAATAAACACTGCTCAATTTTCTCCGGTAACAACTTTTCAACTGAGTGGACTATGAGGGAGCTTTTCTTATCTATTTGATGTAAATCGTCCTCGAACTCATTGTGCCCAGATTCAAGGACGGATTTATCACAGTATTCGTTTACATCATCTTCCAAGAGAAGCGTTCGCAAGATGGATTCTTCTTTTGCCACATCTTGTATCAAGATGGATTCTTCTTTTGCCACATCTTGTATCATGCCACTTTTCAAGTGCTCTTGGGGTGATATTGTTGCTGCTGTAGGTTCTTGTTTGATAAACAACCCTTCTGTTTCAAGACAAACATCAGAAGACACGTTTTGTTCCAATTCCGATAGCTTTTGACTATTTTGTATCTGGAATGCCCGTTTCGGTGGTTGTCGTACTGGGCATTCCGAAGACCTGTGGATTTGTGGACGAACTCTCTGTACAAGTGTTGCTGGTCTGTTGGTCGATGCAGTTTCTAGTTCTGAAAAAACAAACAACTAAATATTATTTCGTAAATGGTTTAAAACTTATTTGTTTCTAATTAAGCACAATGGGCTATTTGTGCTCTGCCCACCACGGGTATCGAAACCCAGATTCTAGCGTTGTAAGTCCGCAGACATAACGCTGTGCCACTGGGGGTGGTGGTTTAAAACTATTTGTAAGAAACCGTAAACATTTAAATAAAAACACGTGAATATTTGGTGACGGTTGTGTTCAATATGAACATAATATTAACTATATATATATATAAATTTTATATGTATATATATTGTTGTAACTTGTCAAACATGAAACGTATATATATATATATATTGCATCATTTTGTTTTGACAAACATGAGAAGTTTACTTTCTCATCCTTGGTCTACGTACCCCAGATAACGTAGTTTCGTATGTCTTATCAAAATAGTTATTTCACAATTAAAAATGCTTTGTTTGTTTCTAATTAAGCACAAAGCTACACAATGGGCTATCTGTGCTCTGTCTACCACGGGTATCGAAACCCGGATTATAGCGTTGTAAGTCCGCAGACATACCGCTATGCCACTGGGGGGCTTTAAAAAGGCATTTCACTGTCTATTACAATATTACTTCCTTTATAAGCAATGTTCAATGGTTATTATATAAATAAAAAATTAATGCTAATAAACGTTGGGAAATTACTAAAGTTTTTTACATTAAGTTGTAATAAATACTGTAAGTTTTATTACAATATAAATCTTTATAAATGAAATGTTTACATTTATTTCTGTGTTGCGATCTCCAGAGGACGCTAGTATTTCAAGGACATTTGGATTCTATAAAAAATACTAGCCTTAAACCTTATTTTGATATTGGAGTATATATTTCAACTAAATC